ACACACACACACACACACACACACACACACACACACACACACACACAGTTAGCTGCTCGCTAACACAGTGGAGCTGCTCGCTAACACAGTGGAGCATTTAGCAGCTGAAGAGCCAGAGATTCCCCTCAGGAGTTGGTGGAGACCAAAAACAGAGCCCAAAGAGAGTTATTACCTTATTGTAATTAAAATATTGTAGATTTACATTCACCAAGTGGCCGAAACACGACTCCTTATGAAAGATAATGTTGCTCCGTGACTGCTGGACGTGTCAATGTTTAGTTTACAGCTTGCTTCTTATTGCAGGTTGAAGTTAATTTTGTGCTGCTGGTAGGGACACCTCTGACCTCTGACAGCCTGACGAGATAGTATATGTGCATGACCCCTCTCCTGTCCCCCCCCTCCCCTCCCTCGTCTGCTCCAGTGGCTTTTCCAGATGAGGAAACCCGAAGCCGTGGCTCCTGCTGCCGTCATGGGAGTCTGGGCTTCTCCCCTCCACTGTGCTCTGTTGAAGCTCGCTCTCCTCTGCAGCTGGGAGCGCCTTCAAAAAGCTCCGTTTCAATCACCGCAGTTATCCAGAGAGCTGTTGTTTTGACTTGGTTAAGTTTTATCACAGAGCTCAGATCAGCTCCCTACAGTCAGTCTGTGGGCCACAGCGGAGGCCTGAGAGCTGCGGAGGGCTCAGAGCCACATCGGCAGAAACTTTGCTTTTTTGTTTTACACATAAAAGCACATTTCAGACACAGTCCTGAAATAAAGTAAGATTGACTCAACCTGATTGTTTCCATTTCATGCTGTTCTGTATTGACATTGTACTTTTTACGCCACTACATTTATTAGACAGCTGCAGTTACTTGTTACTTTACAAATGAAGATTTCATCCATAAATCATATGATAATCTGATAAAATATGACGTATTTTTAAAGATTAAACCACCAAACTGTAGCTGTATGACATGCATATGTAAACTGCAATGTTCCTCAGTAATACATATCCAAATTTATAATGACACTCACAGAGAGCTATTCGTCTACATTATGAATACTTTTACTTTTATAAGTGATGTTTCAATGCAGGAGTTTGACCTGAAACTGTTCTTATCTCGCAGTCTTTTCTGTACTTAAGTAAACAACCCGACTACTTCCTCCACCGCTAAATAACGACAATTTTGACGGACTTCCTCCTTGATCACAAAGCAGTAAATCCTTAAGTGGGTTCCATCTCTGTTGATGCGCGTGTTGAGGGAACACAGAGGACTTAAACCAGGTTGTTGGTGTTTTTACCCCCAACTCAGCTTGTTAACAGCGGCAAGAACAAAGTCTGCTTAATGATTACCAATTAGTGTTCTTGCAGCCGTGACATTACCATACGGCCAACATGTTGCCTTCATTAGTCTTAATCTGTTACACAACTTGCTCAGAGCAACTACATTACTTGTTTAAGGAGGGAATAGCAACAACGTGTTATATATATATATAGATATATCTATATCTATATCTATATATATATATATATAGATATATCTATATCTATATCTATATATATATATATCTATCTAGATAGATAGATATCTATCTCTGTCTATTCAATGATTCTTTCCCCCGATTAACAGTTAAAATGTGTTTATGACAAAAATATTTACTTCAAAACTTTTTTTAAACTAAAGAAAAGCTTTAGTGGTAAAAAATAAAACATTTCTGTCTTTGATTGCCTTCATAAAAGTTTAAATTGTGAGAAGTTGACATTTGAAAAATAAAAGAGAAACTGTGCTCCTAGTTATATTCCAGTCAACAATTAGCATATGTGTTTACCCAGTGTGCATAATGCGCGTGTGTGTGTGTGTGTGTGTGTGTGTCAATGCAGCTGCAAGAAAACTCCCTCCACCCAGTCAATAAACACCTTTATCTGTGAAACATACCTGGATGACAGAGCAGCCAACCTCTGCACTCACAGTACGGAGGAGACAGAGTGAGCAGTGTTTTCTCACTGGAGAGCCCCCC